TTACCTTATAATCATGTTGTAGCTGAAGATCGTTGCCTAAAAATATAAATAAAGTCATTAATCTACATCACGCAGCATTTTACCTTTATTCTTCCATAAATTTTAATGATTTCTTGTTTTGTTTTTTTTTTATTAAAAAAAAATTCCATTAGCAACTTTAAAGAGCTTATGAAGTTTTTGTTACCTGGACTTTCAATGGAGGGACAGAAACATCTCAGGTTTAATTATAAATATCTTAATTAATGTTCTGTAGACGAACCAAAGTCTTATGGATTTGGAATGACAAGAAGCAAGAAGCGGAGTAAATAATGACAGAATTTTCATTTTCAGGTGTTATAGCAAACTAATAGCTGACAGATTTCCCTAGTTCACATCATTATTTGACAGACTGTGAGAGATGTACTGTACCTGATATATATCCAAATGTGGTATTGAATCAAATGGAAATCAAATCAAATCAAGTGAATCAGAATCCAATTGATTTGTGAAATCAAAAGTGTGGTTGCGGACACATGATTTTTCATGATTTGTTAAGGTTAAAATCTTTGTTATTATTAATCATTATCAACTCTTACCATTAGAATTGATACTTTAAATAATGCAAAATATTCTTAGCGTAGGCCTTATCAACAAATCAAAAAAGTTGAATTGCACTTACTTTTTTTCTTTTCTCCAGTTTCCTGCCCATACATCTTAGTTACACTGTTGTCTTTATGCTCTGCCATTGAATAGTGTATATCTGTTTACAAAACAAATACTACTATTTATAAAAAATACTAGTTTATAGGTCATTCATATTTGTTCAGTACTTTGTTCAATACATTGATGCTAATTTATACATCCTAAAATATAAAAAAATATGATCATATGTAAATTAACAGTATTTAAATGACTAAATGCTGTAAATTATTGCCCATTGTTAGTTCATGATACCAAATGCATTAGCTGATGTTAATAAACCCTGAACCTTATTGAAAAGAGTTACCAGTTAATTTAATCGAACCTGCTTCATCTAGGAGAACTGGCCTACCTTGATCCGGGAAATACTGATTGCTAAGTCTCAAAAAACCTGAAAGAAAGGAACAAAGTCAAATAAGAAGAATTCCAGAGAAGAAACAGTTAAAGCCAAGTTCCAAGACAGTAACAACCAAGACAACTAACGAACAAAGTACTTACTTGGCACAGTTCATGAATAATCATGGGAAGTAGAAAGAAATTAGTATGTCGAGCCAAAAAGGTTTTGTGGCCCAAAGTCAAATGGTGGATAGTGATCCTAAAGTTAGCCTGCTGGAGAAAGAAAACCAAAAATATTTATACATACAACACACTACAGGCCAGCCTTCATTACAAACACACACAACTCAAAACAGTCAAATTAATAATTCAAACATCAAATGGAAAATAAATAAATCTCTTTATGTACTTTTTAAAGATGGACATTTTGCCAAAATTCAAATAGGCCTACTTTTACACATGTCCGTTGCTAGGGGGAGAAAGGTGGCCTGGGATACCTTAGCTACACATACACACACAAATTAACTGATGTAGCTGTAACAATATGGCAAAATTGAGCCAGAAGACTCAAATAAGAGGCTGAAATCAGATTAAATTGATTAGTCAAAAAAAAAAAAAAAAATCCTGTTCATTTTTGTTACTTTTGTTGAATTTCGATGTTATGTGTAACAAAATGTCTTTCTCTGTGTTCAGGTTTAACTGTAGTAAAATTAATGCAAAAACTGACATTTCAAATCAACATTTAAATAAAAATCAAAACCTTTACAAAAAGTTGTCTTTGAGAATATCTATCTATACTGTATATATATATATATATATATACAAATCCACAACTTAATAAAAAAAACAACTAGAGAATGTATAAGCCTTTTTATATAGAGCTATATGAATCTAGTGGTTAAACCATGGAATTGAAGATGTTTTTCTTTTTTTACTCCCACCAGATGGCAGTAATCTTCCTTCAAAAACTGGATTATAAAGATATTGGGCACATTCAAGCACGGTTTCCGTTTTGCTACGGTTTCCGGGTTGAACTACATGTTTCCTGGAAACGGTGTGCAACGGGGTTTGAGATACGTTTTCTCTTGTTTGGTTGGTGTGTCAAACATGTCAGCCCAATCAGCAGCAGCATGTATATAAACCACACAGAGACAGCTCGCACAATGGGTCCAAGTAAAGTCGTTTACAAATGTGTCCGCTGCAGCTCGGTATACGCAACAACTGAAGATATTAGAAGACATGTTTGTTGTGAGAGTTTTATAGTAAAAATATAGCATATCAACATAATGATGTAGTTGTTTATATATTTTTAGCTTCATTATATAAAGCAAGTTTATTTATATACCTGGGCTGCGTTCAGCCCAGACAAAACGGTACAAAACGTGTTTTAAACGGAAACGGTGGTGCATTGAACACCCTGTTCTGATGACACAAGAGTTGCAGCTATGGCAGCTGAGAAGGCCATTCTTTGTGTTCTTTTTGAAGAATTTTTCAAAAATACGTGTTTAATACGGCAAAATATGCTCGATGTTACAGTCACCGCCCTTGCCATCCAGAATAAAAGAGAACATCCCAATCCAGTGAAGGGATTTGTGGAAACTGTGGTTCCTAATTTTTGTGATCCAACATTTGCCTCGCATTTCAGGATGAAAAGACAAACATTTCAGGTGAAGGATAATCCACTTCTTACCTCCGAGACTGTGTTATGATCTATATGACCTTTTTATTTTTATTGTGAGTATTAGGCTTATCATTATTGCTGATCACTGTTGTTGTACTATGATATTGTAATATTTACCATTATATAATTAGAGGAATATAGAAAAGTTTATGAAAGTATCACTCCATAATACAATAGCAAAATATATAAATATGCATAGTATTTTTGTTACATTAATCAGCAACACCTTCCTGAGGAAAGGATGGACCAGACGACATTGCAATTACTAAATGATATTTAGACAGACTTAAAGAAGTTCCATATCTATACATGAGCTCTTATTATTTCAGTTATTTATCTAAATAAATTCACAAGAGCAAGTATATTGTTTGCACATGTTTATTTACATTAAAGGCAAAATAACTGAAATAATAAGAGCACAAGTATAGATCTGGAACTTCTTTAAGTCTGTCTAAATATCATTTAGTAATTGCAATGTCTTCTGGTTCATATCCTTTCCTTAGGAAGGTGTGCTAAACACTGATTAATGTGACCTAAAAATACTATACATATTTATATATTTTGCTATTGTATTGTGGAGTGACACTTTCATAAACTTTTCTATACCCCTCTGATTATATAATGGTAAATATTAAAATATCATAGCACAACAACAGTGATCAGCAATAATGATAAGCCTAATACTCACAATAAAAATAATAAGGTCATATAGATCATAACACAGTCTCGGAGGTAAGAAGTGGATTATCCTTCACCTGAAATTTTTGTCTTTTCATCCAGAAATGTGAGGCAAACGGCAAGCGCGGTGACTGTAACATCGAGCGTATTTTCCAGTATTAAACACGTATTTATACCGATTTCATCAGGTTCCGAAAATTCTTCCAAAAGAACACAAAGAATGGCCTTCTCAGCTGCATCTCTTGCGCCATCAGAACAGGACATTCAACGCACCACCGTTTCCGTTTAAAAAAACATTTTGCAACATTTTGTCGGGGCTGAACGCAGCCGTCCTCTATTAAATATTAGAAAACCCCCCAAAACATTTTGTATTCTTTTCAATGGGAAAAATAAATTATCATAATTATCGCATATAAACACCGATTAGTATCATGAAATTCTCTCAAAATAAAAAATATTATTGAACAAAACTATATTACATTGAGTTTACTGGGGAAAAAAAGTTACATTTCAGGGGTTCAGTCACTTTTGACCGCGAACAACACAAGTGTGACCCCCAAATGAACAATACATGAATATTTTCGCCACATTTAAGTGTTTGGAATGCGTAAGTAAATCATTTTTTGTTCGTTCTCGACCAGAAAAATACAATTCCGCACTTAAGTTTCCACGACTTTCCAGCAGTTAAGAAGAAATACATAAAGCAAGCTATTGTGCTATAATGTTTTTTTTTTACGAAAATGTTAAAAACTGTGCTAGATTTATGTTAATCGTTGCAGGATGCTATAGCCTAGTATTTTGTTCTTGTATGTAAAACTCGTTGATTTACCTTACAGCTTCAGATTTCTCCACAAAGTGAATTTAGATCTTCCTGTCTCACTGTATTTTCAACTGTCTTGAAACCACACCCCCAAGTAAAAATGAAAGTGAATACTATCCTGAACTAAATCTAACAAAAAAAATTTGAAGGCCGCGCTTTGTTTATTATTATTATTTTACTGTTAAAGGTTAAAAAAACTACTATTATATATAAACTGAATATATATGACTATATATATATTGTGTGCCAGTATGACCTTGTAATGTGGGATCGATGTTTTGTTATTATTACTAAATGTCTCTATTTACATGTCACACTTTGTCCTAAAATGAATGTATCTTTGCATTCCACTGTGCTACTTTTCATTTAATATAACAGTATATGTTACATATAACAGTATATATAGTGCTATAAATTGTTTTTTTCTTTAATGAAATACAAAAAACTGCTAGATTTACTGTAGCTGCAGATAACAAATCTTTTTTTCTTGGATAAACAAGAGTTACAGGTTTAGTAAATCCAACATTTTGTATATATTCTAAGCCAGTGTTTCCCCAACCCTGTTTATGGAGGCACACCAAGACTGTACGTATTTTCAGTCTTCTCTTAATCAAACACACCCGAATTAACTCTTCAGCTTGATAATAGAGACTCCAAAACCTGAAAGAGATGCAAATAAGGGAGACATGCAAAATGTGTACTGCTGGTGTGCCTCTAGGAACAGGGTTGGGAAACTCTAAGATAGTATCAGATAAGCACACAAGTCAGAGAAACACATTCAGGAATAACTAATTGTTCACAACAATTTTTTATAAAGTCTAAATATGCTTTCTTTATTTTTCTGTTATAATTGTACAATTCACACAAATGTTACCACCAGGTCCAACAAAGGAAATCTTTGTTAAGACGTGATGTTACAGCAGCTTAAAAATGATTTCAAGTAGTTCCGTCAGCCTAGAGGTCATTCTACTGAAGTCATTATCCTACGGAGAAGAAAGAGAGAAATGTAGATTTCAGTCAATAAAAAAGTCCATGTATATGAAATTGTTAAGACTCCTGTCATTAGTAACATTTGCAAGCCCAAGTGAAACTCACCCTTTTGGCGGTGCAGTGGTGGAAAACATATTCAATATCTGAGACAAACTCTTGCACTGTTCGATAATCATTATTCTCCAAGTTCAGCTTCACTCTGCCCAGCATCATGGGACCACAGATGTTCTCACTGAATCCTGGAACCTAGACACCAGCAGTGTAGCCGTCACATACTGTACATATACACCACATATGCAAATAATGACTAAGAGGCAAATTAAGCTCGTAAATATGAGATTTACTTTGGCACAGGGGTCGGTCATGCTCTCGTGTAGCAGGTGTAACAGCAGGTACTGGCAGTGCTAGAAGAGAATCAAACAGACTGTAACTGTTAAAGGATTTTTGTCTAAAAAATGAAAGAAATGTTGTTTTGGATCCCATTGACTTCCATTGTATGGGCTAAAAAAATGCAGAACCTTTACCAGTGTGTACTGAGAGACTGGAATGCTCAAAATATCCTGTTGGGTCTTTTGACTGGAACTTTTCATCTTCTTCATCACACAAAACGTGCAGCTCCACTGGCTTCTGTGCACACAAAACACACACTATTACACAAAGTCAAACATCTAGTCTGTCTAATCCAGCATGATTTCTCTCTCTCTCACCCAGGTGAGTCTTCATGTACAGCTGGTAGGTGACAGTGTGAATGAAAAGCTCGTGGACATTCATCACAACACACGAGAGCTCCCTCAGAGGGACACACGAAACACGCGTCATCATTCTGCTGGTACAAGAGTTCATACAGAAATAAAACTATACTGTTATGAAGCACACTGCAGAAATAATTTCAAGTGTCAGTAGTTGTGATGAGTTTTGGTGGTCTTTGTTGGTGCTTTGGCATGACTGTAAATGTGAGTGACGATGTCTTACTTGGTTCTGATCCGGTTCTTCGCAGATCTCACAGTCACAGTTGGCTGTATGTGGTTGCAAAATGCTTTTCTGAAAGTATGTGAAAACACATCAGTATTGTGTACTGCAAAAACATTTGATCAGACCCTGTCATGACAACATACAGCATTTTTTTCATGCATGATATGAAAAAATATATATTATGGAAGTCAATGGCTACCATTGACTGTTTGGTTACCAACTTTGTACAGATGAAAAAAACAATCGTATAGCTTTGGAACAACTTCAGCGTGAGTAAATGATGACAGGATTTTCATTTTTGAGTGAGCTGTCCCTTTATATATACAAGTATACAAAAACTTAACCCTTGTGCAACCTTTTGGTCATTTTTGTCCTTTTCGGTTTTGTTTTTTTGATCATTTTGTCAAAGTGTTATTAAATTTTGGCACAGGTGTGTATTTTTATTGGAATTGTACTATTTCACTTCCATTTCCTTTAATAAATCTGTTTTGCACTAAGTACAAAAATTTTTTTCTTCTCAGGACCTTAAGGACAAAAATGTCCCCATTGAAACCCATTAAAACTGCTATTTTTAATCGCAGTGCCATTCAACTGTAAAATTATGCAATTTTTGTTGATAGGCTTTCATTCTATTGGCAATTAAATTCTTTACCAGATGGTGCCATTTTTTCAGGTTTGACCTATAAAGAAAATACTCGCTTTATTTCTGTTTTCTGCTTCTGCATATTATAGAGCCAATTGGATAAATAATGCAGCTATAGTTGTGTGGGTGTGTTGGTATGGATGTCAGAGTGTGGTTTGTATGTGTGTCATAAACATTTTTTTTTGCGTGTGTGTGTTCTTGTAATATTTGAGAGAGAAAAACTCTACTGCAAATCACAAATCCAACCACTGTGTGCACCAGCAGAGTTTTGCTGGCATCTAATGGGGAAAATTTGGTACTGCGCCCAAACAAAATCTTACTGAACGCTCATTTTTTGAGATATCAACCTCAAATTTGGAATACAACTTGTTTAGATTTATGGCTTAGATTTTCTAGCAGGTATGGAGTTCAACATGTTTCATAAAATATATATTTTATATAAAACATCGTTCATAAATCATTTTCATAAACCTAAACATCTAGAACTTTTTTTTTGGTTTCACTTTTTAAACTTTTTTTACTTCAAAAATAATCTGCCACGGGTCTTCTTTAAAATGAGACCAAACTTAACTCTGTGCTCCCAAGCTTCAAATTTTTATGACAGTTTTTTGACATGGACATTTTTGTCCACTATGGACCTATGTATAACTTTTTTTAATTGACGCAAAAGGGTTAAGAACCCAATAAAAATAACACTGATTATAGCCACATAAATACGACACAAACATCATGCGTAATCTTGAGTAATCTCTGAAGTTCTCCCAGGTTTTCTTAGGATTTAATACAAATGTAAAACAATGTTAAAGGACCTTCATGGGGCTATCACACCACAATGTGATTGCCTTGTTTGTTGATAGCCACTGTTTGTTTCTCTGAATATCATCAATTTAAATTAGAAATGTTCAAAATTCTAATTGTAAAGGTTCTTGTTTACTATTTAGTATTTTCTTTTACCGTTATAAGCTTCCCAAGAGGCATCCCATTGGACAGAATGTCTTTCTTCCATGTTCCATCTGGTTTGCTCAATTTGATGAAATCCTCAGGCGTCAGCCAGTGGTTCTCTGTTCTTATGCATCTCCCACAATACCCTGAGATAAAGACAATACTGAGTGTAAAAGTCTTGTACCACTGCAGTCAAGCAGTGCATTTATATGCATTGTCATTAAGTGAGAGAAAAAACAATACGGGACTCTGCCTACAAATACCCTGATAGCGCCTCTTGTAGAGGTATCATCTAAAAAAGTGCAGCGAAAGGTAAAGGTATTTCAGGTTTTGCAGAAATGTAGGCAGAGTCACATATTTCCAATGAGCCTGGCTTGCAAGAAACAGATAACTTGTGTTCAACATTTTTTAGTTGTGCATGTAAAACACTGACAACATAATATTTATAATAACTGTTATAAAAACATTCCCACTCACAGACCTTTGGAAAATCGATATTTGTGTAGAATGCCAGAATCAGAACCACAGGTAACAGGTAGGACTGGACCTTTAAACATGTTCATGTCAACAGCATCATCATCATCATCATCGTCTTGATTGTCTTCGATCTTATCGGGTGATTCTACAACAAATACACAAATATTCACTAAACAGAATATTAAGTCTTTCTTATTCTGAATAACTGTTGCAATGATCTTATTTAAAGGAATATTTCTCCAAACAATTAAGAAAATTAGTCCCCGTTTACCCTGTTTTTCCAAACCCACATGGCTTTTTTTCCCCTGCAGAACACAAAAGGAGAAATTTTGATGAACATCTTGGTCACTCTTAAGTCACATTTGAAAGCTTTGGCCTAGAAAGTTTAACTCCTCAACAAATCCTATCTACAATGATCGAAGAGCAGCCAAACCTTTGCATCCTGAACCCTGCTTTTTTTAAAGGATGTATATAAAAGAAATCCATCCTATGAACAGAAAAAGAACAAAGTTAGAATATGTCATAAATGTAATTATATTATCTGCATTGTGTCCATTTTTATTTCAGGTAGCTGTTATTTGTTTAATTTGAGTTTTTCAAATGATTTACTAATAGATCAGACTCACCAATCACCAAGGCCATATTAGAAAAAAGGGAAAAAGGAAATCATAATTGCACTTGAGTGTGCATTAGTTAAAACTGTTATTGAAACCTGCATGTCTTATGCACCTCTATGAGTTTCTGGAGTGGAATCCCTTTGCAAAGGATGCTGGTCTTCCACTTTTTGTGCCTCTCCTTCAGCCCAAACCTCTCAAACTCAGTGGGCTTGAACCACTGGCCCTCACTGAAAATGCACTTCTGCTCTAAAGACAGAAAATGATTTATTCAACCACTACTGGAATGACATGTTTTTGAGCACCTGGATGCTCCAGAATTACAATCTCGAGACATTCAAAAACGTGTAGCTCTTCATTAACATCACTCAATTCTTTAACATATAGAAATGTTTCTGCACCTACTATCATAATATTTATTCAAATACAGGACACCCTCTTTACAGCCACATGTAACAGGAAGTTGAGATTTGTTTTGAGTGTTTTTTTGTCCTGCGGATGATTCTGAAACAAGTACAATCAAAATCAGTTAGGTGAAGAAGAAAAAACTTCTCAATCACATATTAGGCAGTGTAAAATGTGCATTTATTGTCACTTCTTGATTTATTGCCGTTTTGACATTATATTAGTAAAAATATATATACTTTCTGGACTCACTGGGGCAGTTTTGTCTCTTGGCTTGTTTCTTCTTCTTAGGTTTAGAATGGGAGGACGACCCCATCTGCTGTCTCTTCGTACAGCTTTGTTTCTTCATCCTCCTTTTTTATCCCTAGTGGTGGAAAGAGTACTGGAAATTTGTACTTAAGTACAAGTACTGTTACATTGCTGAAATAATACTCAATTACAAGTAAAAGTACTCCTCTCAAAAACTACTCAGAGTACTAGTTACTAGTTACTTTTTAGCTGGCGATATTTAATGAATTACCCAAAAATATTCATTCATATCAAAGATCTATGTGAACAATAGCTACTTTGAACAAAACCCATTTTTATTTTATTGACAAAGTACATGAATTAGTGGTCATGATACAGGAATTTCTAACTTCAATACCTTGAAAAATATCAGTATCAAAGTACCCGTGAACAATGATCAAAGTACCCGTGAGCTGGAAGTTGCAACTGACTTCAGTGTTGGGATGTATTTCCAAGTGAAACAGAATATTGAATAAAGGGCAGGGTTTTATTGTGGTGCACCTCCAATCCAGAGGTCTTGCTCATAGCAGATTCACAGTTGGATAGTGGTTAAGAAAATCTGCTTGTTACGTCTGATATCACGCTTCACCGCTTCTGGGTCCTAACGCTCTGCCAGATGCCCCCCAGAAAACAACAAACTGTGCAGATACACACTCACAATGTCATGTAATACTGAAAAATGATAACCCTAACCTTTATCTCCATACTGAAATCCCAGATGGCCAGACAGTGATTCAGCTAAAATATTAGTGAGCAAATCTGAGACACTGTGAGCACGGAGACTGTAGTGTGCACAGCAAATATTTGAAATGCTTAGCATAAATATGTAATTTTAATTAAATAGTGCTCATAAATGGCTGTTGAGATAGTATTCTCAAGTGAAATAAGTAGAGGCATGGACCCAGAAACAGCAGTCCTTATGTCATACTTAACAAGAGGATTCTCCCGAAGCCGTCAAACTGACGTCATCAGAGCCAGAACGCCAATCCAGAGTGGAAGCGACGGCAGACCATTTTTTTCCCAGTGCATTGACTTGCATGGTTCAATTGTTCACAAGACTAGCAATGTGCACTAAAAAAAGTAGGGTCATTTTTTATTTCATGACGACTAATCTTTTTCAATACCATTGGCAAAACTACCACATACTGTATACTGCCATATAGATATTTTAATATTGTTTTTGTCGATCCTTTTTTTCAAGGCAATCATTATTTCAAGCTTTGAAATTGGTTTAATCCAAGTCTTCTAAAAAGACACATTGGCTTTATATGATGAACAGATTTTAATATAGGCTTTTATTTACATACATATTGTTAGATCGGGTCTCCACGCCAGATAATATTTAGGATCCAGCTCTGGACGCCAGATCCCATCAGAAAATATCAGTTTGTCCAGTAACAGAATAACTAGTCAGCAGCACTGTTAATACCCAAACCCTGTCAACAGCAAGTCTTGTCTGGTATCCAAAAATACCCAAAATGAGTGTTTAACAGTCTTCTGTCAGTCAAGAAGTAAACAGAGGAAAGCCAGAGAAGAGCAGAAGCAGGAGACGAAGTGATGATGGTAAAAAGTAACAGAGTTTATTGAACAATCTTAGTTGCATATGTCTCAATGTTCAAACTTCGTCTGCCCAGCACAAATTCAACATGTACTGTTATACCAAAACTGCTTCACAACAACATCCCATAAACCTTGGGTTTCCATAAACATTCCCTCTTATCTATCTCTATTCATACAGACAAAACAGTTCATGAAACCCCACA